TTCTGTGATCGACCTTCTTGTCAGCCTCTGTGTGTTCCTTGAAGCTGACAATCAGAAACCAATACAAGGCAAGTACGACCATGACGACATACAGTGATCTCCCAAACGATGATAGAACCATCGGCACCAGTGCTTGTCAGCCACCCCAGCGACTCCTGGCCATCCGCGTTTCCGAGCAATTCCTTCTTTCCCTTGCTCCAGCTGATGGAGTAGACTGGATTCTCGTGTCCTTTAAGCTCTGCTATGCACTCGGCTTTGATCTCTGTCGAAGATTTGCCCGAAAGCCTCCATATCCGAATGAGCCCATCATCAGCCCCGGAGGCAAGGTATCGACCTTTCGCAGGTTCCCAAGCGAGAGTCCAGACCGTAGCATTGTGTCCTGTAAGGGTGGCAGCGCAGTACCAGTCGTCCGAAGGATCGTCGACGTAGAGTTTAATCGTGTCATCATAGGATGCAGAAGCTAAGATCTGTGCTGGTGTGTAGGTCAGATATCATAGTGTAAAGAGAGATTAGCGGGAATACGGACCTCCTCAGTTGGATGCCATGCTACGCACTTCACGTCTTGTGAATGTTCCATGAGGACACCCATGCATTCGAAATCGGAATCAGGATGTACTGTCATAGGAAGATAAGCCTCTACGTAGCTGGTGGATTGTATTGCGACGGACCTTCCCATATCCATACTGTCTTGTCTCGACTACAACTCGCCAGCAACGTTCCCGAGTTCGAATACGCAACGCTCTTGCACTCGGTCTCATGTCCTTCCAATAGACTCATACACTCCCACTCCCCCGCACCGGTCCCATTCCCATTGTCATCTTCCTCCTCCTCCTCTTGAGCCCAAATTCCAATGTTGCTGTCAAACGACGCAGTAGCCAGCGTCTTCCCCGAAGGCGACCACGCAACAGCACGAACAGTCTTCGTGTGCCCGGTGGGGATCGTGGTCGTGTGCGAGAACGTGAGGGGATCTGAAGCACTGGAACGGTAGGAGTACATCCTCACGGTCTTGTCGGCTGAACATGATGCAAGAATGGGGCGTGTTGGGTTCCAGGCGATGTGCCATGCTCGGTCATCGTGCCCTGCGATCGTGAAAGTGCTCGTTAACGATGGAAGGCGTGCGTAGAGATCGTCGCGCACCTTCAAGTTCTGCTACAAGCTCCAGCTTTAGGTCTGGCTGGTCAACGTCCATCGCTTGAATATTCAAGTTTCAAGATACAGCAAGTTGAGCGATCAAGCGGTAAAGAACCAAGATTTGGGTGAGCGGAAGACCGCTGTTATCTGCATCTGAGATCTCCCGATCCGATCTGGCGGCCTAACATTTCGCACAGACTTGAAAAGGACTCGAAAGGCCGCAGCGCGGCGATCCTTGCTCGCGTGTCGCAGTGGTCACCTACTGAGCATTTCCATCCTGTCAAAGAGCGTCCTGCTTTTGCAGAAGGTTTGGAGAGAACGGTTGCAGATTGAACGTTGTGGTGAAGAGGCCGATGAGTCACAGAGGATGGGCGTCTGACGACGATCGAGTGCGGTCAAGTTTCTACGGGGGAACCTTGCTGAATTAGGAACACATTCAACACAAGGCTGACATTCTCAGACTGGTCAGCCAACCAGTTGTATTTTGAACGGCTGGCAGATTGTTCTCTTCTTCACCCGAATGGTACTGACTGGATTCAGAGACTCAGTCACGGTCGTCCAGTGGCCGAACTGAGATGCCGGGCCCGAAGAAAACACTGTGCAATGCATGACAACGGTCCGACAAACGCTGCTCATGTAAACAATCTGTCTCATAGTGCACGACGAGTGCATAAAACTAGAGCATTTTACAACGCCCGAATTTACTCCCGTACGACCGTGGCTCGTACTTATGTGCTGAAGATGACGAGCTCGGCGGGTACCTGCTCTCGGCCAAAGATTCGGTTTGTGATAAGTCGGTGCCGCACACCATGCGGAGAGCGGGAGGAACGATGTGTGAATTTTACCAAGCACGACCGAGCACGTCCGACGCGTCCGAATGAAAAGGCTGGCTAGCGGCGCTATCACGAGGATGTGGCATGGAGGATAAGAATAGACGAAGTGAAGGGCCGTCTCAACTTCAGATACGCGCAGAATTGCAGCCGTCGAAAATCTAGATTCTGAGAATTTCGGAGTTCATTTCATTAGTGCGTCAAGCACGAGCAGTGGTGATAATAGTACAACGAACGAAACGTGAGTAGAAGTCTAAGTGAGCGTGAGTACTTATAATGGCTACAGAAGATGAAGAAGAAGCCCCGAATAAGTTATGAGTGTAGATGCCGCAGAATATGCCTGATAGGAAAAGGATCATGGAAAGAGCGTGAAGTTGAATGAGAGTCGTGCGGTGATGCAGGTGGTGCTGAGAAGCGAAGGTAAAGGCTACGAGGAGCCCACCTGTGTTCAGCTGGAGATGGCGCCCATGATGGAGTCGAGGAGGATGTCATTGCTGTCTCCTGCAGCTTCCCACATGGCGAAGCCCCGAAGACCAGATTGCTTGATGAAGTCACCCTTGGCGGCTGAGGAAAGGCATGTCAGGACGGACGACCTCGCTGCAGTAATCAGGGAGGGTAGCGTACCGAAGGACTGAGCGTTATCGTAGGACACCATGACTTGGCTATCAACATCGTAGATGAAAGGCTAGAGGCGGTAAATTCAGTGAAAGTGTATCTGCGTGACCAAAAATAGACGTACTGTCTGACTACAATCGTCGAACAGGTAACCCTTGCCAGCAACAGGATTGCCAATGGCATCGAGGAAGCCCTTATCGATGAGACCGAAGAAGTTGAAGACGCCACTGTAGCCGGCAGGGACGGTGGTACCGCAGGACGTTGTCGACGCATTAGCAAATGCGTCTAACGCATCGCCTGCAGGTTGAGTGGCTTCATGCTGAACCCAAGCGTTCAGAGGTAAAGTTCCATTCGTGGGCGTTGTTGAACTCAGGGCTTTGCTCTGGTCGACCTGGTAGGAGTGTCCGTAGGAGGCAACCCCAAGCACGATCTTGTTGGCAGGGAAACCAGCGCTGGTCCAAGCGGCGACAGCAGAGACAGCAGAGCCTTGGGCTTGGCTAGGGTCGGACACGCAGGTATCGTTCAGCGGAGCATTCGGTCCAACCATCTGGTTGGCAGAGAAGGACTGGGGGTCCTGGATCAGCATCAGATCAAAATCACTATAGAGAGGTACTTACACCCCAAACGTCGTAGTTCATGATCGAGATGTAGTCAAAGACATCGGCGAATGCAGAAACATCCGTGCTGTGTGCGCCGTCCGGACCGACGAAAGGTAAGATAGATGTGGCAGCAGTGATCTTCTTGCCAGTCATTCCAGGGTCTTGGCGGAGAGCTTGCAAGAACGACAAGAAGTTGGCCGTGTCATCGGGTTGGTAGATGTTACAGTCGGCGCCTGTCGTACCAGGATACTCCCAACTGTATACTATGATCAACGACTAAAATGACGAGCGACTACCAACGTCACTCACTCGAAGTCAAGGCCATCCAAGTCGTACTGTTCGACAAGACCGACCATGGTTTTCACGAACGCGGTGCGGTTTGCATCGGATCCAACGTTCACGGAGAAGTATGCAGAGCCTGTCCATCCTCCGATAGTGAGATAAGCTTCTTTGGTCTAAAGAACCAGTCGTAAGTCCGGCGAAATACGCGGCACATGAAGTACGTACAGCATTGTGGGCTGCGGCAACGAACACACGCAAGTCATCAGCGACACCGGTTTCATTTAGGTAGCCTACAGCTGTGGGGTCATCCACGGTAGTGCTAACGGGTAGAGATATGAGTGAGATGAGAGCAAGCGATGGATGCGAAAGGACTCACGCGAAGGCAAAAGTGGCCGAGGTGTACTTATCCCAGCTGATGTCCTGCGCAGAGAGGGTGCTGCTATGCCAGCTCGCATACCAAGTGGTCGCGATAAAGTCGCTCGAAGCATTGCCGGAGGTCGAGCTGCTACCACTCACGGTAGGAGTCGCAGCAGGAGGAGGCGTACTTGAGGCAGCAGCTGAGCCTGACCGAAGTTTGCACATGGGCGCGGCCCAGGCAGAGAGAGGGAGGAGGGCGAGGAGAGTGGTAAGAGGGCCCATGTACAACATGATGGCCGAGACGTGAAGAGAAAGAGGGAAGACAGACAGTTAGCAAGACAGAATCTTGGAGAAAGGGTGGAGAGAGAAGTGGGAGCGGAAGGGTGGAGAGGGAGCAGGCTTTATGGGCTGAGCGCGCAATGCGGCTGACATTCGTCCTTTGTGGGCCCTGGTCAGCCGCGTAGTCATCTGGATTCCGATCTGGGAGATGAGAAGAACAGCACAAGGCACGCTTGATACAGCCTCCCGGGACAGAGCAGAACGGTCTTTGTGTCGTTGAAGCCTCATGTCTACCGCACAATAGCATCTTCGAGCCGGTCTTCACCGCGGAGGTAGCCGCTTAGAAGAACAATAGCATTCCCTGGCAATGGCCGTACGTCGTCGTGTTTTGAGATGTTACATCGGAAGCAGGTATTTTTGACCAGTGGCAATATCGTCGAAGAAAAGCGTCGTTGACGACGATGATGACCGCATGTTCGTGAATGTTGCTAAGTCGCTGGTGAGGTCGTTGGTTGAGTTTGGGGAGGATCTTGCAGCAGTTGAGGTAGCAGACATGATGATGGAGATGAGCAACAGAATTGTGAAGGATGGCAAGGAATTGAGACGAGACTGCAATTCGGTCGTGGATGGTCGTCAACAACACCGTCGTCGCTGTCGCCGTCGTCGAGCAACCTCAGTCACGGTGGTCAGCCGCATGTCACAGAAGGGTGACGGCTATTGTTACGCGTTACGCGTTTCACGGGACTGTCACAGCGGTCCGTCCGGCGCCGTATTAGCGCTGGCTGTAAAAATTTGAGCGCGATCGTTTACAGCTTCCGCAGATCTTGTCCATTTGCCTCCGTTCTTTCGCACACTTTCCTCTCCTCATCTCTTGTATCAAGACAAGTATTTACCTACGTACTATCACGCCATCGTGGCTCAATGGTAGGGCGTCGCTTTCCTACTTGGCATTTGTTGCGGTATGAGGCGAAGATTGCGGGTTCGAGTCCCGTCGTTGGTAGCGGATACAATTTTTTCCTTCTTCCATTCACAATGTCCATATTATTATGAGTTTGAGCGATGTATATGGGTCGCAAGACTGTGTGATGCACTGTGTATGGTAGACTTGTCGCCGTCTATGGTACAACCAAACTCCAAGTTTATGGGAGCTTGCCGTCGATGCCACAGCTACCGAACAATGCCAAGGACCAGGAAGGTAGAGCACACGTATTGCACGGTAGGGTTCCATGATCAGATGTATTCGAGCCGTGAGATTCAGAATATGGTAGGGAACAAAAAGCACGGAAGTTGACATCTGATTACGTGGTAAAATCTTTCACAATGACATGAAATGCCATATCCTCGCAAGGATCCGTGTCGATAAAGGTGTATCCAAGGTGGATATACATCTTGAGCTAGCGGTGTGAATCAGAGTCATAAGTTCATGAGCGATAGCGTGACGAGCTTACCGTATCGTCCGTCGCAGCTTCGAACATGACCTTCGAACGCTGGGCTCTAGCCTATCCAACATGTGAGCGACTGACGTGCAGTAACTGATCACACTACTTCACCAAGGCGTCTCCCTTCTCGAGTAATGCGCGAGCGACACCTTTGTTGCGATACTTCTCAGAGACACAGAGGTAGTTGACTGACCATGCCTTGTCTTTTTGCGCTCGTCCGGCGCCAACCTTAGCGTAGTCCGTCTCGAACTGTGAGATCATCAGTAAGTTAACAGATCTTCTCGGTGGTTGCGAAACAACTTACTTGGATGAATGCTTTCCTCTCTTCCTCGGTGAGTGATTCGTTCAGATACTTATCAAAACCTTGAGCTCTCTGAATCTCGCTGCATGGCAGGCTGTCAACAGAATGTACGAAGAACATATGGAACAACGCACTCGGATAGAATCCCTTGTCCTGGAGGATAGAAGAAGACACATCCTATGACTTCGTCTGTTCCTCGAAGGAAAGCGGCGAAAAGGAATGCCCCTGCCGCTGCGCCAGCCGCGCAAGCGCGATGAAAAGCCCATTCATTTTCAGGTCGTCCTCCAGAGCCGAGTTTGGTGACCCGAGCTGATGAGGAGTATTGGTGAGTGCTCTGAGAGCTTTATAACGAGTAGATACTTACATTCCGCAAAACTTGCTTTCATAATGCTCGCCAATGTATCCAGCTGTTTTGTTGTCGATGGTTTTCCTGCGTAAGTATCGAATGACCGTGGCAGAGCGAACTGGTCTGTGGGGTCAGTCAAGCGGTGAACCTCAAAGTCCAAGGCCATGTCGATATGTGAACTCGCAGTTGGAGGGCGTGGCGAAAATAAACGGAGAGCGCGTCATACCTACAGTCTTTTTGAAAGAAGTAGGAGCGATCCTCTAAGAGGTGGACCGCCCCCCACGCCACGCTACGAAGACCACGACATCTGTTCAGGGATTCGTAAATGCTGATTGCGCCCTCTTTGGCGCAATCTGTATCTAGCCTTTTTATTCGGCGCCCATCTTGCACGCATTGCCCCGAGTGCCCAAGATATTAGTTGTCCGTATGTCATGTTGTCCGATAGACTGTGCTCGTAGCTTCCATCCCGCTTCTTGAGCCTCGGCAAGTGGTCCAGAACAGTACTAGTTCAGGCGAAGATTACGACTGCGAGTCTTTTCGTCTGCAGTAGTTTCTCTTTTCCACGGTAGCGCGTGAGTATGAGAGGAACGTTAGGAGCTCTTTCCAACCGTCCTGTCGGGGACTAATTGCGCACTGAATCGGGACAAGATGAGGTTCAGCAAAACACTTCAACATGAGTGAAATACGAAGCGGGCATAAGAGCTCAAGACCATGAGTTCGTAGCTCTGTCACGGCAGGTTTGTCCGGTGAAGTACACACTACAATGGTGGTGAGAGAGGCTGGCCAAGTAATAGCGAGAAAACAATCAAGATAGAGCGAGCTTGTAGCGGTAACTGAATCTGTACATTGCAAATCTTGCCACGTAAGATACCCCGACCTGATGATGGCTCACGCCGTCAGATATCAGCGATGCTGGAACTGATTAGTCAGTGGAGCCTGAAATGATCACACAGTTGAGAAGAGACTTGCCTGATCTATGTCTTTCTGCGGTGGAACTGGCCACGTAACATCCGTCAAACTGAATATTTTCCCAAGTTCCAACCAAATTTTCTGCCTTGCTTGCTCGTTATGCGTCTTGATACGATCCATGCACACTCTGCACAGTTGATACGTGATCCATTCCGAGTCCTGCAAACGGCTCACATCACAATCTTCGCTGCATCTGCTTTGAAGCAGACCGCGTTTGAGCGCAGACACCAGTCCTTTGCACGACTTTCTCTCCGTGCACTCGCTGGAGGGGCTGAAATCCTCGTAGTAGAGAATGTGTTTTGCGCCACGACGGCGAAGCCGCTCTTGGCCTTGGAGACAGCGCTGAATATCGGCAGGACTGAGCGACCAGTTTGTCCCGTCTTGATCGATGTGACCTCCAAGAATATCCGGAAGTTCAAGTTGTGCTACAATGTAGAATGCCGACGGGAGGAGGCAGCTAACATCATAGGCCTGGGCGAGACTGATGACAGCCAATGCGTCACAGCCATTCATGCCCACTATAGCACCTTCGGGGAAATTGGGAGGCGGCTGTTCGTCGTCAGGTGTACTGACGACGAAGTCATTGATAAATTCATGAAGTTCGGTGGTGAAGTACGATGAGAGTCGCTGGATGGCGTCCCGGCGCAGATGTTGCATGTGATACTTGGAACCGAGCTGAAGCATGGCCGCCACCGTTTCGAACGGAAGTCCTTGCTTGAACCCAAGGCTGTGCAGGAGCAATGATAGTGATGAATTTGATTGCGCACTCGCAGAGAGATAAAAGAACATACACATCATCGTTGGTGAACAAAACGCACAAAACGCGGTGAAGGCTTTTACTGGAATCCGACAGATGCACCACAGGGCAGCCATCCCATAGCTCCGCATCTGCTGGCTGAGGTATCGAGAACATGTCGCGAAATACTTCGGAATATCTCGAGAGCACTCCTTTGTACACCCGGAAACCGGTACCATCTTCGGCGAAGAGGATGATGTTCCCGTCGTCGTACCACAACTCTCCGCGTGTGTAAGCCACTTTAGCGTCGGCCGTATCGTCGATTCTTGCTCGTTTTCTTGAACCTTCTCCAGGATATTCGTCGGACATGGTGGCAGCGGAGGAGGTCGGTAAGTGACGGTGACAGATTGCGTGTCGGGATGATCGTGGTTGTTCTGCTTATTTGCATCGGACGCAACCGGTAACCTTCACCCACGGTCACGAGGATGCCATCAACAAGTACTGTTATTTGAAGACAAATTAATACCGTTCATCTACGAATGCACACGGCACGACACCAGCAGAGGACGTGTAACGCGATATCTACACGATGAACACGAGAGTAAAGATACATGCGCAGAAAACACCTAAGATCTCAGTAGAGACAGATCGACGTCCAAGACTCGATGCGCTCTCAGTAGTAGTCGAGCGTGGCAAATCCAGAACCCAAGTACTACTGCTCGTGAGAGTCGCACAAGGGACCGGGTCGCCTGATTGGACACAATTCCACAGCTGTACAGGGGAGGTTACAAACGGAGTGCTAGATGGTGAAGGAGAGATTGTGATTATGACAGTTTGCGTAGTGGTGACGAACACTGTACTTGCATCCTGCGCAGAGCTGGCAGGATCGGAGGGTAAGCTCATCCCTGAGGATGAATCTGACGCGTTGACAGCACTCGTGGAGGTGACGGTGGAGGTGATTACGGAAGACGAAGAGCTCAATGCGCTTGGTAGCATAGAAGGGAGCAGTTCTGGCGAAGTGACAGAGAAAGGAGTCGTGGTCACGAAGACGGTCTCCGTTACCATTGTCGTCGGCACAGTCTCCGTCGTAGAAGATGGTGTATCTGCATCGAGGTCGGCAGACCCAGAACGAATGCCAAGAGGGGTGGTAGTAACAACCGATGAAGACATGACGGGGGGCGGAGTCACAGTGACCATGACGGTCTCTGTCACTATTGTCGGTAGCGAAGTATCCTCCGTTATGGAACTGCCATCGGACTGAGTGGGAGACGAGGATAGACCGCTCGCGGAGGCCGTAAGATCCGCCGGACTGCTATCGATGGTCATCGAAGCAGATGAGTCAGAAGGGATCAGGGTAGCCGTAGGTGCAGCATCGGTTGTAAAGGCAGTCGACATCGACGAGTCTGAACCATCTGTAGACGATGGATCAGACTCGGTAGCCGGTGATGTCGTCAGAGGTGAGGAAGCGGTTGAAAAGGGAGTCGAGGTCAAAGTGACCGTTTGTGTCGTGACTGAGGGTAAGGAAAGAGACGCCACGGAAGGAGAGGAGCCCGCTACAATCGTGGTAGCTGATGAAGTGCCGTCATCTTGACCAGTCGACAAAGAAGTTGGTACACCGCTGTCGGTTTCCGCTGTAGCAGTCGGTGATTCGTCGGGCGCTGAAAAGGTTGGTGGCGGTGTCTCAATACTTGAGGGCACCGATATCGAGCTTGAAGAGAGTGGCGTAGGGTCGATTGGGGTGGATATGGTATCGAAGTCTGTCGTGGTGAACGAAGAGCTCCCGGACGCGGTAACAAACACTGTCGTCCATGTTGTAGAAGGAAGAATAGAGGTTGCTGAGCTAGGGTCTACATTGGCTGGCGTCATAGGAGAGTCGACCGTCGGTGGGGAAGCAGGGGTAGAATCGGGAGATGTACTGGTCATAGTACAATCGCCCGAGGTCAAACTTGTCGTGTTTGAGGCCATGGAGCAGTCACCGTCTCCGTGCCCTCGACTACTTTCCTCGCCCTCATCCTCGTTCTCCGAGTCCGAGTCCACAGACGAACTTCCAAATGTAGGGGCAGAGCTGGAGGGTAGAGTTTCACTATGAGATGTGGAACTAGGTGGTGCCATTGAGGTATCCCAATCGGCAGTTGAAGGCGTAGAGGGCCCAGCCCCAGCGCTGCCAGTTGACGAAGAGGTAGTGACGGCGGTGTTTGCTCTTGCGAAG